TTCCATATGAATTTTTGAATTATTTGTTCCAATTCATTGAAGAATGTTGCTGGTAATTTGAGAGGGATTGCATCAAATCTGTGTATTGCTTTGGGCAGGATGGCCATTTTGATGATATTAATTCTTCCTAGCCATGAGCATGGGATGAGTTTCCATTTATTAGTGTCCCCTTTAATTTCTCTTACCAAGAACTCTACTTTTAAAAGCCTCCCAATGATTCTAATGATTGCTCTCATTTAGGAAACAGAGTCCCTGATAAAATCCTTCTGGATGTGAACAAATACTAAGTTTAAAGGATGTTTATCGATGCATTTTTTGGAATATTAGAAAAACTGTAAAACATCTAGGAGAATGACAAACTATTGTCTATCCACTTGCTAAAATATTATGTCGCCATTAAAATAAAAATAAAATAGTTTATGCTTTTCCGCCCGCTATCCCCTCCGGCTGAGCACTTGGTCAGGCTGCACGCGCTCGCCCTGAGATCTGGGCTCCTGCTAAGCTAGTACCGCGTAGTCTCCATCCAGCCGCCCTATCATCTTCTGGGACTTCATCAGCCATGATAAGACGTTTTGCTACATCTACAAGATCCGGAACATTGCGGATGGGCTGTGTTTGGAGGTGGAGGGGAAGGTGGTCAGTAGGACGGAGGGTAACATTGATGACTCGCTCATTGGTGGAAATGCCTCTACTGAAGGTACGGAAAGTACAGCAATCGCTGGGGGAGTGATACTGTCATGAACCATCACTTGCAGGAAAACAGCTTCACAAAAGAAGGCTGCAAGAAGTATATCAAAGATTATATGAAATCGAAGGCAAACTTAACAGAGACCAGAAAGAGTAAAACCTTTTATTACAGGGGCTTCCAAACAAATCAAGCACATCCTTACTCATTTGGAACCCTATCAGTTCTTTATTGGTGAAAACATGAATCCAGATAGTTGCTCTGCTGGACCACTGTGAGGATGGTGTGACCCCACATAAGGTTTTCTTTAAGGATAGTTTAGAAATGGAAAAGTGTTAACAAATTTGACTATTTGTATCTGTCACCTGTCATTGTACCCGGCTGCTGCTTTTCATCCACACACCACCAGGATTTAAACAAATGGGACTGATGTGCTCTTGAGCTCATAATATATTTAAACCTTGGTTTATTTGGAATGGAGGAATTCTTTTAAAGAAAAAATGTGTCATGTGGGTTGTCTAAAAATAAAATGCATTTAAACTAAAAAAAAATCAGGTAACTAACATAACTATGTGCCAAGCACTGTTCTAAATGCCTTGTATATATTCTTAGTAGTCTCATGAGGCAGGTTCCATTATTATTCCTATGACAGATAAGGAAACTAAAAATGTATATAACATTACAAATAAGTTGTGAAGCTGAAACACTTCTAAACTATCAATAATAAAAAAAAGTTTTTATAATAAAAAAACTGACCTTGTTAAAGGAAAGACTCAATAAGCTTTCTAACAGAAAATATTTCAAAATCCTATTACAAAGAAGTGACCAAATCATTTGCAGCCAAACACTATAGAGAAAAAAGCATCATCTTAAGAGAAATTAAAGAGGACACTAACAAATGGAAACTCATCCCATGCTCTTGGCTAGGAAGAAACAATATCATCAAAATGGCCATCCTGCCAAAGCAATACACAGATTTGATGCAATCCTTATCAAATTACCAACAACATTCTTCAATGAACTAGAACAAATAGTTCAAAAATTCATATGGAAACACCAAAGACCCCGAATAGCCAAAGCAATCCTAAGAAAGAAGAATAAAGTGGGGGGGATCTCGCTCCCCAACTTCAAGCTCTACTACAAAGCCACAGTAATCAAGACAGTTTGGTACTGGCACAAGAACAGAGCCACAGACCAGTGGAACAGAATAGAGACCCCAGATATTAACTCAAGCATATATGGTCAATTAATCTACAATAAAGGAGCCATGGACATACAATGGGGAAATGACAGTCTCTTCAACAGATGGTGTTGGCAAAACTGGACAGCTACATGTAAGAGAATGAAACTGGATCACTG